TCTCCATAGTCATCTTCACTATACTCGGCAGTGGCGTCCTCACATGCATTGCATGCCTTGCGGCAGGCACCGGGGTAGGCAGCTGTGCCAATCATGTAAGGCCGGTTCCTCTCGCACTCACCCGTGGCTGCCCACGCATCACACCTGTATTCATGCAGCAGGGGTGAACGAGGAGGCACGTGCGGAACAAGAGCACGAGAAAACGTGGTTGAACAAAGAGAAGTGAAAATACAGCAAATGAGAGATGGGCCGGGGATGGGGAGATGAGAAAGTGGAGAATGCCGTAAGGAACATAGGCAAGGGGTGACGATAATTCGGAAGGAAGGTGGAGCACGCGAGTGAACAACTCACAGGCCGTTAAAGTGAACACTCTCAGAGGTGCCTTGGCTGAGAGGGGTCAGCAGGGGTGACTTTCGCATCAACTCAAGACTCACAGGCCGTTGGCATCGACACAGAGGCCTCCCGTCTGGAAGCCGGGTGCAGGGGAGTCGTAGGAGCGGGCGTGGATCCACTTGGGCGCAGACCACTTCTGCCCCTCCACCACGGGGCACGCATGGTGCAGACTGCTGGGGTCCACTGAGCCATCCGGATGCAGGTTGTAGAACAGCAGCGCGTCGCCCCGCACCGGCTTCACTGCACAAGTGGGGAAGAAAAGGAAAAAGAATGCAGGAGTTCAGTGCGGTCCAAAGAACATGGGTCCACTGACCCGTCCGGATGCAGGTTGTAGAACAGCAGCGCGTCGCCCCGCACCGGCTTCACTGCACGGCCACGCGCACACACGTGGGGAACAGGAGGAGTGGGGAAGACAAGGGAAAGAATGCGGGTATTTGATATGGAGAGCATGCTGGAGTGCTGCTTCTCGGAGCAACTGCCAGACTCCCTTCCCAAGGTCTCCTAAGGTGCTTAAACTGCATCTCAGCGTCCATTCCTGTGCCGCCCTTACATGCTTTACCACCCCCCCTCCCCCCAATGCACCTTTCCAGTAAGCAGCCCCTCACCTGCCAGCACGCCCTTGGCGCAGTCCGTCCAGGAGTCATCCTTGGGCGTGGGGTCCTTGTGCTCCGGGAACGGGGCGTGGTCTTTCCCCCCCGTGATACGTTAGGGCGTGTGTCCTTCGGCCCAAAATTGTCAAAGTTCGAACTTTTACCGCTTTGAAACGTGGGAAAACGTGTTGATAAAGTAGTCTACCTTGTAGAACCTCTCTAAAAAGTCAAACTTTTGCCAAAGTTCGACCCGAAGGACACACGCCCTTATTAAGGTACACGAGCACCGTGGCGTAGCAATGCCTGCCCTGCTGCGTGTTCTTAGGTGCGACCATTCCCTGTGCTATACTACCAAACCCCCGCACCTCCCCAGGGGTCAGGCCCTCACCTGCCAGCACGCCCTTGGCGCAGTCGGTCCAGGAGTCGTCCTTGGGCGTGGGGTCCTTGTGCTCGGGAAACGTGGTCTCGCCCCCGCGAGTGACGTTGTTGAGGTACATGAGCACCGTGGCGTAGCGGTGCCCGCCCTGCTGCGTGTTGACCGGGTCGTCAAAGTAGTCGTGGTGCGCCTCGTACTGCTGCCCCACGCCGTACCGCAGGATCTGGTGGAAGAGTTGGATCAGTGGGAGGGATGCAAGCGGGGATTCATGGCGTGGAGGAGGGAGGCGAACGGGCTTTCTATACTTGCTGAGCTGCACTTACAGTTGCAGAGATTAACACTTACAAAGGTGTGGATGGCGGAGGGTGGGTCACGCAGCAGGGGCAAAGGAGACGGGGTTGGGAAAGGGGGAGAGGGAGTGCAAGGCATGCTGACCTGCAGCGACTCCTGGTTTTCGAGGGGCAGGAAGGTCCAGAGGCTGATGCGGTCCTCGATGGCTCGCACCACGGCGTCCTCCCCTTTCTCCAGGAACATGCCGCTGCTCGTCCGCACCTCGCTCACCTCGCTGTGCCCGTCCTCGCTGTCCGTCACCTCCGACCTGCTCCCCCATGCCACCCGTGCCACACATGTCACACATCCCACACATAGCATACGTGCCATATGCCGCGCAATGCGACACGCACCACAAATGCAGCATGCGTCGTAGGTTGGGGCATGAAGTACACGTATCATCACACACATCCCGTACATGGCATATTCAGGCAACGCACATGCCATGCATGCAACCCATGCGATTCAGCTGCACATGAGAATGATTGCTTGATATCGCACACGATCATGACGAGCAACATATGCTCTTCCCGTGGACGGAGGCGGAAAGGCTCCGAAAAGCTAATGACATGTTCTCAACTCTACTATCGCAACTGGCGCTACTTTAAGTTACAGCCAGGCAGCGGCGGCACTCACCGTTCTAGGCGCGGCTGCGCGAGGCGGATGAGGTGGTCGCACTCGGCGTCCGACAGAAAGCCCTTGTACAGATACGCGCGCGGCTTCCACGCCGACAGCTGAATGATGCGCTGCTCGCCCGCTGGCACCGGCTGGCCGTGTGCGTGTCAGGGAGTGGGGAAGTGGGAACAGGGACGTGTGGAGCAGGCTTGGTGGGACGAGTGTTTCCAAGGCTGGTAACGGGATGACGGGAGGTAATAACGCGACGAAGTGACTGAGTTGACTCGCATTTGTTTGATTCAGCGCATGTTTAATATCCGAAGTGCGTCGCGACTTGCTTTTTCGCTAATGAGTCGTGTCACGACGAGTTCCATTGCGCGTACCTTTTTCGCAGTGAAGGCGCCGAAGTCGAGCCAGCTGAGAGCGGCTGTTTGCATCTGGGCGAGGTCGGCTGCAGTTGACCGTTGTTGGATCAACACCCCCGCTGCCAGCACCACCGGTAGAAGCACCGCAAAAAGCATCAGCGGACCAGATGTCAAGGGATCCGACGATGGCTTCTTCTTCGCACTCTCCTCACTAGCATCCGTGGATGATCCGGGTTTCTTGACAGAAGCAGGTTCTTCAGCTTCTCCAGTTTTCGCAGCCTCAGCTTGAGTGACTCCGTTGCTAGCATTATCCCTCTCATCTCGCTCTTCGGTAACCTTAGCCTCAGTCATCTTCTAACTAGTTACGGGATCAAGGATGTATGCGGAAACGCCACAAGAATCAAAACTACAGCGTTCTGAACGAGTTGTTTATCCTGAACACACAAGACGGAAGCTCATGCAAAACAGACGTTGCATTCTGGAAATCCTGGATTGGCATTTCTTGCTGTATTGGTAAGGGAAGGTAGAAGGGGGCTGTCTGAGGAACATCTGAGATCAGATGGTTGTTGAACGTTTTAAACTGATTTCGATCGGTAACGATCGGTAAGTCAAATTCCTGAATCGGTCCCAAGCAAATGAATATTGCGTGCCGCGTAATTCCGAAGCCCAGCCCCACTCTAGAAGTTACACCAATCCCAGCATTCCGTGGTGCTGAGCTGGTCCCTCGAAAATGGCACAGATTGCGGAGCCATGGCCTGTACCCGCCAGGGGCTTCCTCGAGTCACAGCCTTCCAAATCATTTCACAAATCAGATGGTTCCCTTTGCTGTGAAAAGCCAAGCGGTGTAGATATTGAAGTGGGCCAGGTCAGACAATCCACGTCTGATCAGATGCGTGGAATCCAGTTTCGAAATCCAGCATGAAAGGGCTACAGATCCGTTACAACCCACAAGAATTCGCCAGCTTCGCCCAACTTCTTCCACCCTAGCGAGCAGGTTCGTTAAAACATTTCGCTAAACTTCAACGTGCCTTCCTTTCCATGCCCTGACTCCAACCAGCTTGGTTCTCCCCGAGAGGCAGAGAGAGCAGAGAAGCCCATCCAACCCCAACTCCATCCCACCCCATTTCCTCCCAACGGCTGGCCTTTCTCTCATTCCATTGGCTAGGCATCTGCCGCGAAACCCAAGCGAGTCGGTGTGTTTCGTTTCGAAAATACGGTTTGCTTTTCCCGCTAGTCTACAACGTCCACTCGATCAATCTGATCCCTAGATCTGTTTTGTAAGAAAAGCAATCCGACGATCTAGCTCATCAGTCCCTCTTTTGTGCTGCCAACGGCCATCCCTCCAGAAACCGAACCCCAATGTCCGAACCCTTTCGGAGCCGCGCGGCCTAAAACAAGGAGGACCCTTCATTTTTTGTCTTCTTTCGGTAGCCTTCCAGCGAATCACGAGAATCGAGTCCCACACCCCCAGTCCCCCTCACTTGCTTGGGGTTGGCTGTGGATTTTCAATCTCGCCAGGCATTTTCGTGAAACGACGATCCAACCGAGGGCTTTTCGAAGCGACGTTTCGAGCAGGGGTTTCACAGAGCGACATTTCGACCAGTCAGTTTAGACGTTCGCACATTCATTTGAACATTGTGCTCAAACGTAGTCGTAGATGAAGCACATTGCCACTTCGACCGTGCAACTGTCTCAGCTCGTTTACACACGCGATTAGCGACAAGCCTCACGCGCATCAGGAGGTTTTTTCCGTAGACTCGCTGGTGGTTTCACGCAGCTTCGATGTAATCTGACACAGGCAATTTATTATTCTGCTTTATTTCAGCTCGCCGTTTCTGTCTATTTGACGTCGTTTTTGCCCGTTTCTTACGTGCGTATTATTCTTCCGCAGGCAATGGAACATCGTCAGTCCGCTATCAATGTCTGCTGTAGCTGGTCTACTTCCAACCTCAAATAGCATCTTCGTTGAAACGCCGAAATTGCACAGTACCACGACGTGCTCTCGCGGAAAAGGTAATGTCTTTAATGTTTTAGCCACCTTTTGTTGCATATTTCGATCAATTTCTGATTCTTCTTTATTTCAATGTGTTTACAGGCAGTTGAGCATCCGAAAACCTGTCAACGTCCGCCATCCAACGTCGACTTCCGCCACAGCTGACTAATCTACGTCGTCCGCTGCATTCGCGACGGGTTCAAGCGCACCAGCCACTGCGAGGTCGCGATTCCGCTCGCGGTTCAAGGTACAATCGAGAACTCACAATGGCTTTCCGTTTTTACGCGCGCTCATTATAAATAAAACACGTTTCAAGTATCCAAATCTCACAGATGCCTATGCTGTTGACTTTTCAGGTCCGGCAGCACGTCAGCCATGCTGAGACGAACACACGATGGCAGAAACGCGCAGTGGTGACAACGTACATGGCTCCCAGGCTTCACCTGTTGCCTGCAGCGACGACCAGTCATCAGCTAAGTGCTCACGTCCCATGTCAGCCCTCGGTTCGTTTTCTTGTCATTCCGGTTTCTCCCAAAAAGGGGCCACTGGTGGCAGCACACGAAACAGCCCATAGACCCTCCCCATTACTGGTAAAGCCCTCCCTTAGGTAAAGCCTTTTCCAGGTAATTCCTTTGGTAAAGACCGTAGTCTGTGGCTTGTGAGTGTGCGTCCACCAGTGGCCCTCCTTTCGCTCTTTTTCAATTCTACCGCGTGTGCATCCATTCTCTTTCGCACTGTGCCTCCATTGCATCCCACTCACTGCCTCTCCTTGTGCAACCCTCTCCTCCCCCTCCCCTCCTCCTCCCCTCCCCTCCTTTCGCTCTTCTTTATTTCATCACACTTGCATGCATGCGCCCCTTCCATAATGGTGACTCTCCCACTCACTGCCTCTCCCTCCCCTCCCCTCCCGCCCCCTCCCCTCCCTTCCTCTCCCTTTCCCTCCCTTCCACCACCCCCTCGCAGGAGCTCAAGAGCAGCGCTGCTGGTCGCCTGAGACGCCATGCCATGCCTGCTGCCCACGCTGCTTCAACTGCCTCCTGCTCTCACGCCATCAGCTAAGTACCCGCTCCTCCATGCCCTCACCCTTTCCTGCCACACCGGTTCCTTCATTCCATCTGCAATTGCACCGTCCTCTTGAAACAACGCCACTGGTTGGGCTCTGCTCGCATGCTACAGACCTCCCTGCTTCAGGTAATTCCCTCAGGTGCAGGTAACCCTCTCAGGTGCAGGTACACCCCTCAGGTTCTTTTTCAGGTGCCCTTGGGTCTGTAGCTTGTGGCCGTGCCTCCACCAGTGGCTCCTCCCTCTTCTCTCGCGCTGTGGGCTCATTCACCCATTCACCTTGCTCCCACCACCGTGCTCTCACTAGCTCTGTGTGTGCGCATTGCAGGTGGCGGGGAGGGGTGTGGGGTCTACACCGACGCTCCCTCACGCCCCTCCCCTGTGGCCGTGCAGGGACGCGCACGGGAAGGCGGGGAGGAGGGCTGCCATTGAGGGAGGCAGCTGGAGGTGCCGCAGCTGCCTTGATCTCGTCCTCACACGACAGTTAAGTAACCCTCCTCCACTCTCTCACCCTTGCCTGCTGCATCATACGTTGTACATTTCTTGCCGCAATTTCATTTTCTGGTTGTGCTTTCGCCCTTCCCTTTTAAATCATGCCACTGGTTGAGTGAAGTTCACATGCCACAGACACCCTCACTTCAGGTAACCCCTCAGGTGTGCAGGTAACCCTCTCAGGTGCAGGTAACCCTCTCAGGTGCAGGTTCCCTTGGTGTCTGTGGCGTGTGGCCTTGCCTCAACCCGTGGCCCTCCCTTCTCTTCCAGATTTGGCACTTTTCGGTCTCTGGCTTGTGTTGTGCCCATGCCATGCATACTGACCACCGCCGTGTGTGTGCATTGCAGGTGGAGGGGAGGGGCGTTGGGGTCTACACCGACGCTTCCCCACGCTCCTCCCCTGTGGCCATGCAGGGACTCATGGGGACGGGAGGGAGGCAGCGCTGTAGCATGGCAATTCCACTGCAGCAAGGGAGAGTATCGGGATGGGCTTGGCCTCTCAAGGTGAGCCTCTTACCTCTGTAACCCGCTGCACTCGTTTTCTGCTAAGTTTCCCACTCGCGCTCATTCGTTTTATTCGCCCTTGCCTGTTTCAAGGCCTTCACTCACTCCCCTCCTGGCGTTCCCTTCCGTTCTGCCCCCCTTCAGGTCCCTCGCAATGCAGCAGAGACAACTGACGGGACCAGTTGTGGCAGCATCAGCAGCGGGGAGCACTGGTGCAGCAGGGGAGGGGAGGGGAGGGAGGGGGACATGAGGCAGCAGCTCTCGGCGGTTCTTCAGTTGCCAGCTAAGTGCTTTTTCCTCCCTGGACTCACTCTTGCTTGCTGCTCACTGCTCATATTGCCCTCCCAAGTCTTTTTCGCATGGGCTCCTGTGTTTAAACTCTGAAATCTTGCCACTGGTTGGGGCCCGGTTCAAAAGCCACAGACACCCGCACTTCAGGTAACCCCCTCAGGTGTGCAGGTAACCCTCTCAGGTGCAGGTCTTCCCCTCAGGTGCAGGTTCCCTTGGTGTCTGTGGCGTGTGGCATTGACTCAACCAGTGGCCCTACCTATCTCTTGCGGACTTGACAGTTTCTGGTCTGTGACTTGTGCTTGCGGCCATTTCATGCACACTGACCATTGCCGTGTGTGTGCGTTGCAGGTGGAGGGGAGGGGCGCTGGGGTCAACACCGACACTTCCCCACGCCTCTCCCCTGTGGCCGTGCAGGGACTCGTGGGGACGGGAGGGAGGCATCGCTGCAGCAGGTGGCAATCGCTGCCACAAGGGAGAGTATCGGGGTGGGCTCGGCCTCTCAAGGTATGTCAACTTCCTCTTTTCCCTCTTAGATATTCCCTCAGTTTTCTTTCTGCTGCATGTTTTTCTTTCTACTTCTGGCAGCTTTACCCTCTGCCATGTTTTGGCGAACCCTTACTCATTGTTTCTTCTTCTCTTTTCTGCCCGCCACCAGGTCACTTGGCATCAAGGGAAGAGTGCAGCTGAGAAGCAGACCGACAGCAGCAGTTGTAGCAGCAGCAGCAGAGCAGCAGCAGCGTTAGCAGCAGTGGGGGTTGGGGGGCTAGGGGGCAGGCTAGGCTAGGTCGAGTCATGGTATGCAAGGTGTGGTAACAGGTGAGGTATGGTTACAGGTGAGTTATTCTGACCCCCCTCCTTTCTTTCTCTCCCCTTCTGTCCCGCAGCCGGAGGGTGGGAGCACAGGAGCAAGGGCGGAGAGTGGAGTCCATTCTTTCACCCACCTCCTCTTCTCCCTCTCCTCCGTCCCACCCAACAGCACCCTGCCTGGACCACAGTGGAGTCCCGCCCTCTCTTAATCCCCCCTCCCCACTTCCCAGCAGCGTCAGGCATCATGGCGCTGCACGGCTCTGGTAGGTACAGTACAGGTAAGTAGAGGTGAGCAGGCATGGGGTGAAGGGATGGGGGAGGTGGGCGGGTGGAGGGGCAGCATGGGAGCAAGCGGGCAGCACACTCTCTCAGGGGCGGCACCCTCTGGGGTTGTGGCTTGTGGGTGGGGTGTGGTGGGTGGAATCTGCGTGGCGGCGGCACTCGGTGCTCAAGTAACTGATCTGGCGTTCAAAGCTTAATGGACACCGTCAGAGCCGACCGGCCGGCGGCTCTGGTTCGCGTCAGCTCTAGCTACGTCAGGGGTGGGATTTGAGTCTTGGGCCAGACCATGCTTTTCCACTGCCACACCTCCCCTGTATGACATAGCCACTGAAGGTGCTGTTTCTGAAAGGGAGTGGGCTGTCTGCTGCTCCTACTGCTGGGGGATTGGCTGGTAAGTTGTGGGGGTTTGCTATTGTATAGTATGATAATATGGTATGCTATATTATATGGTGTGCTATTGTATGGTATGCTACTGTATGGTATGCCACTGTATGGCATGCTATGTATGGCATGCCTCTGTATGGTATGATATTATGTGGTGTGCTACTGTATGGTATGCTACTGTATGGTATGATATTATATGGTATGCTATATTATATGGTACGTTACTGTATGGTATGCTACTATATGGTATGCTATTGTATGGTATGTGACTGTGTGGAATGATATTATATGGTATGCTACTGTATGGTATGATAGTGGGTGTTTGGTGTGAAGTGGGGCGGGGAAGTGTGTGATAGTGTAGTGTATGATAGTGGTATGTGATATTTCAGAGTGGTGTGTGATTGTGTGGTGCGTGATAGTGGTATGTGATATTTCAGAGTGGTGTGTGATTGTGGTGTGTGATTGTGTGGTGTGTGTAGTGGTATGTGATATTTCAGAGTGGTGTGTGATTGTGTGGTGTGTGATAGTGGTATGTGATATTTCAGAGTGGTGTTTGACTGTGTGTGGTGCATGATAGTGGTATGTCATATTTCAGTGTGGTGTGTGATAGTGGTGTGTGATATTTCAGAGTGGTGTGTGATTGTGTGGTGTGTGGTAGTAATGGTATGTGATATTTCAGAGTGGCATGTTACTGTGTGGCATGTTACTCTGTGATATGTTAATGTGGTTTGTTACTGTATGATATGTTATTGTGGTGTGTTGCTGTATGATATGTTACCTTTGGTATGTATTTGTGAGGTATGTGATTCTATGGTGTGTGATTGTCATATTGTGCTCTGTCATAGTGTGCTATGTCATAGTTTGCTCTGTCACAGTGTGGCATGTCATAGTGTTCCATGCCATAGTGTGGCATGTCTTTGTGTGCTCTGTCATGGTGCGGCATGGCATAGTGTGGCATGCCATGCCATGGTTTGGGTTCTGCTATGTTGTGTGGGATGGTATGGTTTGGCATTCCATGCTGTTGCATGTGTGGTTTGCCATTGTGCGGTATGCCATGTGTGCCATGGTATGGTGTGTGATGCCATGGCATGGTGTGGCATAGTATGGTGTGCCATTGTGTGGCATGGCATCATGTGATCTGCAGGCTGGCAATCGCTGGAGACAAGTGGAGCATGATGGAAGGCAAGGAAGACAGCTTTGGGAGGGAAGCAGATTGCAGAGGGCTGCAGGAGATGAGGTATATGCCGTGTAATCTGATCCCGTGGCTTCTGATTTTGTTAACAATTGTGGACCAGCAATGAGGCTAGTCTGCCTTAAGTAGATTTCATAGCCATACCTTTGTATAACCGCACTTGTTGATTTTCGTTTATTATTTATCACTTGTGACGATCTCCGGTAAATAAACTGATTCCTGGGAATCACTCCCAAGTTTGCTAGGTCCCACCCACGGATCATTATTGTACAAAACAGGCATTTTATGCGTGTGAAGGTTTGCTTGTTTGTACAATTCGCGTTTGTTGGGTTCAGTGTACCAGCTCTGGTTCAGCAGTTCAGATACTCGTTAGAAACATCCGAGATACCCTATTTCCCCAACCCGCCAGCAAATCACATGTTGTGCGAAGGCAGGTTTGGTGAAGCGAAGGTCAGAATGTCCACATCTGACGTGCCACGCTCGATCGGATCCCGTGAGGGCACATATCCAGTCGGAAAGAGCAACAATCTTCGTTACAGTATATCCGCCTTCGCCAAATTCGCCCTTCCAACGATGGAGTTCGTTAAACCATTTCGTCATCTCTTCAACATCCCATCCTTACCCCACCCTGACTCCAACCTGTGAGGTTCTCCCCGAGAGGCAGAGAGAGCAGGGAAGCCCATCCAACCCCAACTCCTTCCCACCCCATTTCCTCCCAACGGCTGGCCTTCCTCACACTCCATTGGCTATCTGTTTGCCCGGAAACCCGCGCGAGTCCCTGTGTTTCGTTTCGAATTGTCGGTTGGCCGTTCCCGCCTGTCGACAACGTCCCCTAAACCAATCTGATCCCTAGATCTGTTTTGTGAGAAATCGATCCGACGATTCTAGCTCACCCAGTCGCGTTTTGTGCTGCCAACGGCCATCCCTCCAGAAATGAAACCCCATTGTCCGAACCCCATCGGAGCCGCGCGGCCTAAAACAAGGAGGACCGCTCATTTTTTGTCTTGTTTCGGTAGCCGACCAGTGAACGCGAGAGTTGAGCCCC